AGTACAGAAAACAGATGCCAAATGTACAGGCTGTACAGAAGCAAGATGCTAGTGCCAAACCTACAGAGCAACCAAAAGCTCTACCATTAAAATGGCTGACAGATGAACCCGTCTGGGTGGGTCAATGGCCTATGACATCTGAGAAGTTAGAGGCTTTGGAGAAGTTAGTTCAGGAACAGCTAGATGCTGGACATATTGAGGAATCAACTAGTGCATGGAATTCGCCTGTTTTTGTTGTCAAGAAGAAGTCTGGTAAGTGGAGAATGGTTACTGATCTTAGAGCCATCAACAAGGTAATTCAGCCTATGGGGTCTCTACAACCTGGGATGCCGTTACCTTCTCTAATTCCTAAGGATTGGCCAATTATAGTTATAGACTTAAAAGATTGTTTCTTCACCATACCATTACAAGAAAACGACAGAGAAAAGTTCGCCTTCACGGTACCTACCTATAATAATTACCGTCCGGTACAGAGATTCCAGTGGAAGGTACTACCTCAAGGTATGTTAAACAGTCCAACTTTGTGTCAATATTTTGTGAATAAACCTCTAGAAATAATTCGTAAAAAATTTCCACATTTGTTAATATATCATTATATGGATGACATATTACTATCTGATTCAAATAAGGATACTTTGGAAAAGATGTTTGAAGCAGTAAAGGAAATTTTGCCTCGCTGGGGATTACAAATTGCCCCAGAAAAAATACAAAGAGGAGATTCTATTAACTATTTAGGTTATAAAATAGATGCTCAGAAAATTAGACCACAGAAAGTACAGATCAGAAGAGATCATTACCGGACTCTTAATGATCTTCAAAAACTATTAGGAGAAATCTCTCAATTACAGACAATTATTGGTGTAGAAGGGCATGATTTAAAACACCTGAAAATGGCTTTAAAAGGAGATAAAGACCTAAACAGCCCACGAGTACTATCAGCTGAGGCTGAAAAAGAATTAGAATGGGTAGAAAAGAGAATATTAGAAGCACATGTGGATCATGTGGATCCAAATCTGGACTGTATTCTGGTTATTTTACCATCTAGAGAATACCCCTCAGGAATGTTAATGCAGAGGGAAGACATCATTCTAGAATGGGTATTTCTGCCACATAAACAGAATAAAAAATTGAAAACATATATAGAAAAGATCTCCGATTTGATATTAAAAGGTAAATTAAGGCTTTGTCAACTGACTGGGAAAGACCCAGCTGAAATTATTGTGCCTTTAACGAATGAGGAAATTTCCTCCTTATGGAAGGATAATGAGTATTGGCAAATAGCTTGCAGTGACTTTTTGGGAAGTATTAGTAATAACTATCCCAAAACAGAGAGAATCAAATTCATAAAGAAAACAATTTGGATTCTTCCACATATCGTGAGGCAAACACCTATTTCTGGAGTTCTTACCTTCTACACGGATGCAAACAAATCAGGTAAGGCAGGGTATAGATCAGGAAATATAAGTAAAGTAGTTCAAAGCCCTTACAACTCCGTACAAAAGGCAGAGTTATATGCCATTCTCATGGTACTTAAAGACTTTACAGAGCCTTTCAATATAGTCACGGATTCTCAGTATGCAGAAAGAGTTGTCTTGCACATTGAGACTGCAGAATTTGTTCCTGATAATACAGAATTAACCTCATTGTTTTTACAATTGCAGGAAATCATCAGAAACAGGACTCATCCTATATATATAACACACATCAGATCCCATACAGGTCTGCCAGGTCCTCTGGCACAAGGCAATGATGAAATTGATCGTTTATTAGTAGGTAATGTGTTGGAAACTTCAGAATTTCATAAGAAACACCATGTTAACAGCAAAGGTTTAAAGAAGGATTTTTCTATCACCTGGCAACAAACCAAAGAAATAGTAAGAAATTGTCCCAGTTGCTCATTGTACAATCAAACTCCATTACCAGCAGGTTGTAATCCTAAAGGTATTCACAGAAATGAACTTTTGCAAATGGATGTATTTCACTTCCCAGAATTTGGCAGTTTGAAATATGTACACCATACTATAGACACATTCTCAGGCTTCCAATGGGCTACTGCCCTCAGCTCTGAAAAAGCTGACTCTGTTATTACACACCTCTTAGAGGTGATGGCTGTTATGGGTATACCTAAAACAATAAAAACTGACAATGCTCCAGCATATGTCTCCAGTAAATTGGAACAATTCTTCAAATATTATAATATAAAACATGTAACTGGTATACCTTACAATCCCACAGGACAAGCAATAATTGAAAGATCTAACTGAACCTTAAAAGAGATGCTTCATAAACAGCCAGGGAAAACAAAGACACCGAAACACAGGTTACACAATGCTTTACTAACGTTGAATTTTCTTAATGCTGATGAAAAAGGACAAACTGCAGCAGAAAGACACTGGACTACAGAGAAGACTTCTGAACTGAACCAACCGGTATATTTTAAGGATGTTATGACCTCAGTCTGGAAACCAGGATATGTGTTACGTTGGGGAAGGGGTTATGCTTTTGTTTCCACAGGAGAAGAAAAGGTTTGGGTTCCATCAAAATTAATTAAAATTTGATCAGAACAGAAAACATCTCAGGAGGAGGAAGATAACAGCCCATCTACAAATTCACATTCCACCATGGGTAAAGTGACCTCCTAAAAGGAAAGAGAAGTGTTTTGTTTTTTTGTATTCACAGGTAAACTCAGCAAAGAATACTGGACACATGGATTCCTGTAGAAGAATGAATAGCTACCCTGAGGACCATCAAACAAACAGTAACTCACTGTGTGGTATCAAAGACTAAATCTCTCTATATTGTTTTTTCATAGTACCCTTTTATCTTTATTTCTTCACATACCTCAGTCCCCATTCATTTAACTGAAGCTGGCTTTGGAGTTGGATTGGCTCTCCTACTCTAAACTCAAGCATATTATTTAAATACGATTCAGAATTTCTGTATTATATCAAAGAGCCATTGATATAAGACAGAAGAAATAAAATGAGGGACTATTATCTGTGGATTTCTTTTTCTGTAAAGTCTAATTTCCTTCAGGTTTACCATCTTCCCTATTGTCACCTCTTCCGGTATGCATACATATGAAAGTTAAAATATTTCTTTGTTAACATTAATGTTTGAGTTTTCCAGAGAACAAGGGATTTCCTGAAAGCAATCTTCAACTGCTTCAGAAAGAGAATGAGGATCCACTTCCTTGACTTCACCTGATTCGACTGGAGGCATCTGAACTGCCCCACATCATTGACTCCACCTGACAAGCACCATCCTGAAACTGGCTTGAAACTACATCACTCTACACAACTCCGGACCAAGAAACTGAAATAGCACATCTTCTACAATCTGGCCAGAGCTTCCGATGAGAGCTTCGATCAACACTAGAACTCCAGTCAGGAACTTCAATCAAGCATCTCCTGCCATACAGAGACTGTCTGATCTACTGAGATTTTGTTATACCAACATTTTTCTTTTCACAGGTCCCCATGAGATTATCATCGTCCCATCTCAGCAGGAAGTAGTTTTGAGAATTCCACGCCCCGTCTCCCTACTATTGATATTATAAGATAGTTTACACCTGTTAGTGTTAGTTTTCAATTATTTTAGAGTTGGGATTGGAAGGAGGTGTTCATATTTGGGTGTTTCTTTCAGATAAGTTTAGGTTTAGATAGAATAGATGTTTGATACATTTTGTTCATGGACACAAGTTAGTTGTCCTTTTTAGACTAAAAGGGGAATTGTAGGAGGAAGTTTGTATGCCGCCATTAAACATGTGACTTATTAGAGGTGCATACAGATGAGGTAATAAAAGGGCGGTTTACCACACCGCTAACCACACCCACTTTAGGCAGGACTAAAGACGTATACGGCTGGACGTAAAGACGTATACATACGTAGGCGGAACTACGTCACTAGCCAGGCCCACTTTTGGGCATGGCTAGGGGGCGTTACGGGGGAAGGTATAAAAGACAGCACACAGGAAGTCTCGGTCTCTTTTTCCCGGAGTTCAGCTTCCGGTTCGGCAGCGGAAAACTGCTTGTCTCGTCTGGGTTACTTGTTTGGTATCTTGTGAGTAATTTCTACAATAAATACTTAGTCTTACTTCCAGTAAGTGTCGCTTATCATTACAGCGTCCTTTGAAGCCTACAGTTGCTAATTCATAACTGCAATTTTGCTACTGTCATAAATCATACTGTAAATAACTGATATACAGGATATTTGATATGCAATTCCTGTGAAAGGGTCATTCTACCCAAAGAGTTGGGACCTACAGGTTGAAAACCACTGGATTAGAAGACTTGTCCGATGTCAGATCTGATTGCCAAAATATATGCAATGGACTACAAAATATTCTTTCTATCCAAACTCCTTTTAAACAAAACAAAAACCAATCAAACAAACAAACAAAACATACTCCCATCCCAACAAAACAGCCTTCTGCTGGGACAAGAATATTCCTTTGGGTACTGATAATGCCAAGTCAGGATGAGGATGTAGAAGGATGTGCACAGATTGCTCAAGACTGGCACTGTCAAGCCACCTCTGTTCAGAAGGATGTCCTGGAAATCAACGTTAACTTTTCTGCCACACATTTTATGAATACCTAATTGATATGACCTGACTTCCTGGGCACCCCTCCAGCTAGCTCCTACAGCAGCAGCAAAAGGGGGGCCTTCTTGTCTAGATAGCATTGAACCTGGCAACCCACCCTTCTTCCTCATGACTACTTTCCAATTGCTTGTTGGTTAAATGATGGCAAATATCTCTGTGAGTTCATGAGCTTTCAGGCTCTCAACCCAGCCTCTTTCCCATAAATCTAAACTTAAAGGACTAGAAGTATAGCTCAGCGGTTCAGAGGGTTTGCTTAATGTTTACAAGGCCCTCAGTTCCATCAACACCACTGCCAATCAATCAACTGACAAGTAAATAGCTAAACCCCAAATCAGAGAAAAAATCAGAGAAATGCAATACCCTATTTATGATATAGGAGACAACCTACATCCAAAGGTGATTAATTCTCTTTATTGGAGGAAAACAAGAAGTCATCAATCTCATTATCATTATGATAGAAATCGATATGTATACATGATTGTCAAGGCAGAGAATCATTTGCTACATAGACCCATGAACATTTTTGCAGTGCCGCAAACCTATGGGGGTTAAACTTCTTGCAGAGTTTATTACATGCATGGGATAAATGCACAGTTTCTCTTCTTTTACTTTTTAAAAAAATTTTTGGACAAGCATGAATGAAAAAAATCAAACCAATTGCAAGCCTGGTAATAGTGAGTGGGGCCGATCCTGGGTTTGATGGTGGAAGCTGCTGGGAAAACATGCCCACTGTTGGGAGAGAGCTGGATGAAGGCCAATTACATCATATATAGCCATAGAAGCCAATTTAGACATTGGTCCAATAGATGTTCTGGAAAGAATGTACGTTTGGTTTCTCCTCATTTGAATGTGGGACTAAGACAAATGTTCTCTGTAACATGCAGTCTTTCAAACTGAAGATGCTGCTGTGATACTGAGCAGCATCTGAGGATGCTGCTGTGATATTGGGCAGCATCTTATGTTGCCTGGAAATGGCCAAGTGCCTTGCAAGAAGAACCACAGCTTCCACAGTGTGGGCCAAACATCTGAGCTGATGCTACTCCCTTCATCATCTCTTTTGTAGCCTGAATACCAGCTCTGTCCCCAGGACTTTGTCCACCAAAGTGCAGGGATATCCAGGAGAGCCTCAGAATCCTTATCTTTTTACACTAAGATTTTTTTCCATTGAGAAGCAAGTTAACTAGTGTTTGGGACTTATGAGTGATGTCTTTGACAAAAGCCTCAAACACGTCTCTCATTTTCTATTTTTCCAATCCATAAGGAAAATAAAATCACCTGTGAGTAACATAGTTTGGTAAATCATCAGAGGACACAACAACCATATAACAAATTTCCCAGAGTCAAAGAAGGTTAAAAACTGGTATAGAGAATGCAAAAGCAGCTTTAGTACAAGGGGTCAATGCAGTTTTGTCCCTTTGGCTTAGAAAAATACAGACATAGAGAAGCCATTCCACAGTTTGCTTTGTCCACAAAATCAGACTCGGCAGCCACATGCTGAACTGAACACTTGGCTTCCAAATGCTCAGCCTTTAGGTATGTAAAAAAGGAAACCCTAAAGCCGCAAGCTGGGTTGCTCCCACTGGAGTTTACAGGGAAGTCTACACAGGGCTGAGTCATCCCTGCGGATTTTGAAGACTTTGGCTGCTGGCAGAAGGCAGGCCAGGCTGTGGCCAGCATGCAGGGCCAACTTCACAGCGGGGCTGGGTTCCTGTGCACACACCAGAGCAGCAGGAAGACCTTGATGCACTGAGACCACCAGGAAGGGACCTGATGGATAGTGTGTGGCCTTTCCTCTTCCTCTCTTCCTTAGACATGCCTGTTACCCAGGGTTGAGGTTTTCAAGCTAACTCACCTGCACACAAATTTTTGTAGAGGTAGCAGGAAGTAAGTTTGCCTTTCAGAAATCTGCTTCCCCAGCTTGGCTTAGAAAACAAACAAAGAAAGAAAGAAACACCTCAAAACTTTCAATTCTGAAAACCGAAAGATTAGAACACCTTTGCTTCTTGCAGTCCCAACCTAGAACCAGGTAACCCCCTAAAGAGCAGCGGGACTACACACAGATATATACAGTGTTTTTAATTTTGGAAACAAACTGAACAGTGTTTGGTCTGGAATGTGTTTAAGGAAAAGGCAAATTTTCGGAATGTGAGGAGAAGGGATGGGGACCTAGCACTGGTTCTGTAGGACATGCAAGCAGGGCTCATATCTCACTTGCTGGGAGTGATTTGCAAACCTGGAAAACCTGTTATTTCTGGTTATGAAAAATGGAAGGAGCTGTCCTTCACCAGCCCTCACCTTCCTTCTTTGTGGCCTAGGAAAACCCAGCACCACACTTGCACAAATCTTGCAAGGCAGAGGCTCTGACCCCAGGTCTCCTGCCTGTAGCTTGGAATAATGGCACCAGTATGGCTTCCCCAGTGTGAAAAGTCAGTTCTGGCTGTAATTCTTAGTAGGTCAAATGGTCATGATTCCCAGAGCTCTAAAATCCCAGTCATTTCCAGTTGGTGAGCATCCCCTACTACTTAAACATGCTCATAAAGCATCAAAGCCAAGTGCTGATCATACCAAGTCTTGCATCCCATGGGAGGTCAACCCTCTCAAGAGGGGACCAGATGGTTCCTTCTCCAGTGTCCATAACATTCTTGGCCTGTGGTATAAAGGCCAGTTCCCTCTGCCATCTATAAGCTATCCAGCCCATGCTGCGCATTGAGGTGTAGAAACAAAAAGTATAAGTAGGTAAACAGAGTCTGGGATTCACTGAGCCAACTGTTGTGTTCCCCAGACACCACATTCAGAGATTTCTGAAGATTCGAAGTCTCTCATAAACACAACTTCGTGTGCAAATGGAGGTGGCTGTCTTCTTAAGGAGGCATCTTAGATGACATCGGGCACAGTTGAAGTGGTATGCCACTCACGGTGGCATTTTTGAAGTGATCCAGAATCAAGGTCAGGTAGGAATCCATATCTTTTGGGTTGTTTCAGTGCCTTCTCCAGAGTCCAGTGAACGGCAGCTGCTCTTTTAGAGTCAGAGTCCCTTTGGGGTTGGAGGCAGTAGGAAGGAGTAAAAAACAGCCAGGGCTTGTTACAAAGGCTTGTGATACTGGGGTTGCTGCCTCAGACACTAAGCAGCCCTCAGTTCCTCAAGGGTTTTGTGGTAGACCCTGTCCTCCAGCCTCCCACTGCCTCTGTCCATCCCTAAGTCCCATACAAAACACCAACTCCAAAGATCCCTTGGTTAGGAATGACAAGCTATTGGCCTTGTTGGAGCTAAAGATGGCTGCATTCCTTTTCACTGATGGTTTTAGATGAATGTTACCTGCCCTTTCTGCCTCAACTATGGGTGAAGGCCAGGGAAAGAGGGAGGGGTCAGGCAGGAAGCAGAAGGAAAGACTATTCTGGAAATATTTCCAAATTTTATAACCAAGTGAAGAAATAAATAACCACTTGCTCAGAAAATGCAAAGAGGCTATAGTGGGGGTGATGGTAAGAGCTTGATATTAGGAAAGCAGTCTGAAAAGGTCCTGTGTGTCCACAGGATGCTGCCAAGCATACTGGTACATGCATGAAATTCTCAGCCTATGACAGTGGAATCTAACAAGAGTGAGGGAGCCAAGACTTTGCCACCCCATTTTTCAGGTGTTAAGGCTAATTCTACTCTATGGTCTCATACATTATTATATAACAATACCAACTGGAAAAGAAACTTCATCTTTCTACCATGCTAACTTTCTCAGAGTGGAAGACTCAGGTGGCACTTATTTTCACCTTTCTCAAAACAGTAGGAAATAACCCAAGTTAGTGAAATCATGTATGTGCTTCCTGAAGACATGTTCAACCTTATCTACTACTGGGCTGGCACTAGCAATCATCTTCTTACACTGGTTTACGGAGACCTGATGTGTCAAGGCTGAATGAAGCATAGTTGATTCCAAGGTAGACACCTGTACCAGGGCTCATTCTTCAACTTTTCTGTATTTATTTGTAGTTCATATATATTTTTATGTAATCTGTGTACCCATATAATCAGCTTTATGAAATACTTTCATCACTAATAATAATAACGTTACTTTGCAGATGCAAATAATTATGTGTACCATACAGCATAAAGGACTAACATACGAAAGGTGTCAAACTCAGGTCACCTACTGCAACAACCAACCAACCCACCTCCTTCCTTCCTTCATCCCTTCCTCCCTTCTTCGCTTTTAAGACAAGGATTTACTAATTATTTCAGGATGCATAGTAATTGAGATCCTTCTGAAGCAGCCTCCCAAGTGTTATAATTACAGCCCACCACACACCTGTATTTCTTCTTACATTACATGAAATTAAATATTTTCATGATACTTGTTGGTAGGAAACATCCTGTAAACTTCTTGAGACACTCTTTTGGATTTTCTTAAATACTTTTTGTAATATTCATATCATTGCCTTTCTTAAAGGTGGAGTAGATGGGTAAGTCTCCATAATCAGAGGCATTTGCTTTCTAACTGGGTCTGTTGTCACTTTAGAAACTCTTCCCAGGAAGTTTATAGATTTCGAAATGACAGCTTCAAATGCTGCTCTTTGGGCTCCTGTGGCAGGATTCTCACTAAGCATTTTGGGAGCTTATGATACAAGTAGGACAGGTAGACCAGATGTCTGACTTTGAAATTGCTTTTATATATCTTGTACTGTACTCTTCAGGAGACTGGAGCTGCCTCCCTAGTGAGTGAGTGAGTGAGTGTGTGTGTGTGTGTGTGTGTGTGTGTGTGTGTGTGTGTGTGATGAACACTGGGGGAGGGCTGGGGGCAAAAGTGTAGTAGTGACAAGGATGACTTACTTGTCCATCAGGACTTTCTATAGCTGGTAAGTACATGAGAGGGGCATGAGGACAACAGCCTCAGGACTGTCCCTGAATCGTCAGGGAGATAGATCTATCACAGCCCAACTTGGTAGGCTACAGCTGACTGTAGATGAGGCTCAGGCTTTAGATAGACATGAGAGCTGAAGGGGAACATTGGCAGAACTGTCATTTGAGCTACCTGCTCGGGTCTCTGAGAACCTCCTTAGAGAATGCTTGCCCTGGACTACACTCTGTGCCTGCTCTTCTTGTATATCTAGCCACTGTACAGGTCAATGACATGGACTGGTTTTCACAGGACATTCTGGATTTTATCCTTCAAGTTCCATATCCTAGGAAATTATTCAGTCCCCGGCAAACCATGACACACAATGGCCTGACTACCCCAGATACTTTGTATTTTAGATTCCTCTGATGTAAAGGGAGGTACATTAGCTGGACCTTGTTGAGTCAGCCATCTCTGAGGTAGGCAGACTGCTCACTTGGTGTCTTTCCTTCCCACCTAACAAAAGTTTTATTCTTTTAGACCTTTTCTGTCCCCTCTCTTGGATGATGTTCATGAGAGAACAGGGTAAAAGTATGTGTGTGTGTGGGGGATAGTGTGTGCTAGAGGCCATTTTAAGGGTAGGATTAGAAATAAATTTTTAAAAAACTAAAGCAAATATATATTTGTTTTAAAAGTGCATAGCTGAGAACAGAGTTTCATCCATCATCCCCCACGAGAAATGAAGACTGTGCATGGTTCATTTTAAAAACAAGATGGCGGCTAGTCCGGCCTGCAAGGGAGGCTCCTAAACCTTAGCCCTGTGGGGATCCTAACCCCCAAAGAGCAATTCACCTGTAATATGGAGCCTGTTGTTTAGGGTGAAGGAAACAAGCTTATCTCTTCCGTGTTTGGTGAGGGGTTCTGGGGAGAAGCTGCTGGTAAGGTGTTCTACAGGTTCCCTGCCAAAAGTCACCTGGAGAGAGGCCAACCCAGCCCAGGGACTGGGGCGACTTCACCAGGAAGGGACAGAGGGCAAAGAAACACAAGTAAAGTGTACTCAGCCTTGGAGACAGATTCTTGATCCTCCTAGAATTTTAAAAAACACCTTCTAACTCCTCTTGGAGGGAAAAAAATCTCTTAAAGGTAACGCAAAACCACCATTAAAGAGTGTATGAGAGAGGTCATGTAACTGACAAGAGATCAAAAAGACACGTCTCAAAAAGAAAAAAACAAACCCTAATGCACAACATTTACCAATATTTAAATAATCCAGTTGAAACCATTTTTTTTCATGAAAAAATACATCCTAGATGGCTGCCTACGCTGAGAGAGTGGAAGTGGTGGAGTTGGGGGAGGGGAGCAAGAAGGTCCATTCAGTTAGAGCTTTGCAAGATTCGTATGTACAGCACCAGATCCTGTGAAGTCAGCTCCCCTTGAGTCAGTACAGTTTGTGAGAAATGAACACATCAGAATTGCAGTATAAAATATGGCCATAAAAAACTTCTGTCTTCCAGTCCTATGCAGGCGCACCATGCAGGGTGGGTGGGGTCTCCGATGCTGGAGCTGCTCCGGTCTGGGGCTTCCCTTTCCCCGGCTCCGCCCCCTGGGTTCCACCTCCAGAGCCGGTCACTTGCTTCCAGTGTGCCCTGTTGTCACAGTGGTGGGCCTGGGTCTCCTCTCAGCTCCGACTCCTGTGACCCCCGACGAAGAAGAAAGGAAACTACAGAGCGTGGAAGGTGCCAGACCTGCCAGGGACAACAGACATGGGTGTTAAGAATTAAATTCACAGTCCCCTTCCCAGAAAGAGGGTCAAATGTGCTGGGCTAGATGGACGAAAGTTGTTTGTAACTGCTGGGCACATCATCTACCCTCTACCCCTGGGCTATACTGTCAAATCCTGCCCTTTCATCACCCTATAGGGAAATCTCTGCCTGGTGTTCAAATTGCTTTATTCTCCAGTCCAACTTTTAGGTTCCTTTTTCTTTATAACTGCTTTGTATTTGAAAATGATGTGGCATGTCCATCATGACACATGATACCCGAGGCCCCATTTATTGTGCTCTATCTATATGCTGTATGTTACACACTAGGATAGTATGCTACTTTATACAGGGCACTGAATTATATACCCATCATTACTAGAATGTTAATTTCTTTAATTTGTGTGTGTGTGTGCATATATATGTGTGTATATATATGTGTGTGTTATGTTTGTGCATGCACAGATAACACATGTACATGTGTGTGGAGGCCAGAGTCAACCTCAGATCTTTATGTTTAGCCACTCTACATCTTGTTTTTCTGTCTGTTTTGTTTGTTTTTGAGACAGTTTGCTAAGTTGGTTAGGCAGGCTGGCCAGCAAACCCTAGATCTGCCTGTTTCCACCTCCCTGTGCTGGGATCAGGAGCACATGCCACCACACCTGACTGCTTTACAGGTTCTGAGCTGCATGACAAAGCACTTTACAGGCTGAGAAGAACAGATCACTTCTACAATAGATCCATGAAGTAGGCATTTTTAGAATGAAAAAAAAGGAGGGGAGCTGTACCCTGGTTCAGGTCCAAATTTATAATCCAGGAGGCATATTGTATCACAGGCCTCTGAAATGAGGGTGCTCGACTCCCACAAAATCTCCCCAAAGGCTTATGTTGGATAGTTTGGTCTTGTAGTAGTGTTGTATGGTGAGTATAGATCATGATCACCCTGCATCCATCAGAGGATTAATTCATTGGTGAATTTGAGGTTGAATCAACTATTGGGGTGTAGGACCTACCCAAGGGAAGCAGGTCCTTGAGGGAAATACCATTCTGCAAGCCCTCTGTCCTCTTTCGTCTCTGTCTCCCTCTTTCCTGGCTGCCTCAAGGAACCATGGACAGAAAGGACTGAAATTGTGAGCCAAAATAGCACTTTCCTCCTGTACATGCTTCTCTCCGATGTGTTCTCCCAGTAACAGAGACTGGCTGGCACTGTAGTATGCAGCAGCTGATGTACAGCTATGGCATGTACACCCCGAGCCACTTTGTACACTTGGATATAGGGGAGCCATAAACTAAAGTACTAAAAGAAGCACTGCTGTTGATGCCTGTGTATGAATCTTTAAAGAAACAAGTGGCCAGCTGTGATATTTCTTTTGGTTAAGAGTGGTAAGAAGGGTCTTCGCTGGCGAGTGTAAGGGATCCAGAGGTGTGCAGCTGTGTCAGAGAAGCTCATGGAGATGTCATAAGAACATTTAAGAGCTATATATGAGTTAAGAATGAATAACAGGATTAGGGTGACTCCTTTGGGAAGGGGGAGAACAGGGAGTGTCAAACCCAGGGTCCTCTTAACTTTATTTCTGCCTAGGCAAATGCTCTACCACTGAGCTACATCCTAAGCTTTGATTTTTTGAGATGGTTTTACTGTGCAGCTTGGGATGGCCTTGAACTTGGAATCCTTCACTTTCAGTGTGCTGGCATTATAGGTGTATGATACTATACTCAGTCATGGGATGGCTCTTAACCAAAAAAGGGAACACCTTTTACAAAGCCAAATAGGAAGGAGCATGGTACCCAATGGTTAAGGCAACAAGGGCTGATGGGAGAGGGCTAATGGGAACTTTCAAGGCAATGGTTTTGAAGTAGAGAACCATCAGTGTGCTCTAGCAGGAGATTAATATACATATAAAGATGGGGAGTGGGAGAGAATTAAAAGAGTAAGTGTGCTTTCAAGGACGTCACATTCTTTACAAAGATGAAAGCTAATATAATACCATTACTGTTTTTTTTAATCTAAAAGACAGTTTGGTACATATAAAAAAATTCAAATACTCATCATCCTTGTAAAAACAACAACAAAAACCCAGGAAAACCCAGACTCTAGAAACCAGTGCAACCAGACCATGAGGGCTCCACCATCCCCTCATCATCCCAGAGGGTGTCTGTACAATAAGAGGCAAATCAGAGGAAGCATAGAAACCAAGCAGTGCCCAGGCCTTATCTTGGTTGTGTGGTACTTGCGCCATGGGTTTCTTATCTACAAATGGAAATGATTATCACATAGAATGGGTATTAAATGAGTAATGTTCTAAGGTAGTCATGAACATTAAATGGGTCAGAGCATTGCATGGCAAACCGTCTGTGCTCAGCTCTCTTGCCCAACCCGGACTCATCTCAAATGCCCGCTGAAGAATTCTGGTTTTGCTACATACGCACAATCTTTTTGGCTGGCCAAACTGAGGTTGCTTGAGACACTTGCATTTGAGCTGTCCAGGCTGCTGCCCAGCTGTAGCCTTCGCATATGTCTCACGACGGCTGTGGCATTAAAGGCTTGCTGAAATGTAGGGGAAAGGACAAAAAGGTGGAGAGGAAGAGAAGGCATTATTTCAGGTGGCTGGAAAACACTCTGAAATATCTACCTTTCACTTATCCAGAAACCTCAAGTGCTGTTTTCTCAGATACTCTCAGGACACTTTAGAAAGGAAATTTCTATTCTTCTTTTTAAGAGTACACAAATTTATTTAACTCTCTTCCTCATCAAAATACATTTTGGAAGTTAAAAATTCACTTGCTTCGGGCATGAATAATTTCCAAACAATACTCTATGTAATTGCAAAAAGTAACTTTTAGAATAGAAAGCATGTATAATGATATATCTTAATATGTAATATTTTAAAGTAGTATTTATTTTTCTATAATTGGTACTTTTTTTCTTTTTTGACAGCAGTAAGACTGAACCATAAGCTAAGCAAATATTCTACCAACTCTTTTTTTATTGTTTAAGTTTGTGAGGCTTTTATTAAGCTGTCCAAGCTGGCCTTGACTTTGTAATCCTCCTGCCTCAGCCTCCTGAGTACCCAGAATTGCAGGCCTGTATCACCAGGGCTGGCTCTATAATTAATGCTGTTGTTCTGAGTAATGGCACTATCTCCAATAATACAGTAGGTTAATGGAGTCTTTAATTTTTTTTTCTTTTTGAACCAGTGCCTTACTGTTCAGTTCTGGCTAGCCTGGAACTTACTTTGTAGGCCAGGATAAAATAATCATTACTGGCCTTCCCTCCCCTCCTGAGTACTGGGTTTAATGGCATGCACTCCTGTGCCTGGATCAATAGAACTAATTTTGTTTCTGTTGGCTTTCACAGCAAGACAGTCATCTTTTAATTACTGATGCCTATTGGAATACAGAATTTAGGCAATCAATAAATGGTCATGAAGTTGCGATGGTTTGAATTCATCAGTTTTTTTTTAAACCAGGAAACATTGATGAACTCAACTAGGTTTTTATGTTCCCCTTTCTCCTTTCTATCACTTTAATAAAAGGTAGCTATTCAAAGTCTAGCAAAGTAAAGGGAGATAGGGAGGGTTGTGCTACTTAAGGAATAATAAGGAGTGAGATTGGGGGCATGGTTGCTCTCTTTAAGACACAGATGGGAAACACTTAGTCCTTCCTACACTTGGATATTCCATAATCAATAATGACTTAAATTTATGGTGCTGGAGAGCTGGCTCAGTGTTTAGGAGCACTGGCTGCCTTGTCCGAGGACCCTGTTTCCAATCCCAGCACCCACATGGAGGCTCACAACTGTGTGTGCACAGGCACACATGCAGACAAAACACCCACACACATAAAATAAAATAATACACTTTTCAGAAGAATAAATTAAACTAGCAAAATTTATTGAGTAAGGCTCTGGGGGATTTCCAAGCCCTCATGGGTCACTTAGAAATATCACATGCTCAATACCACTTTCTCCAGAATGGTTTAAATTCCCTGGGAATTTGGCAGGCATGAAACAGACACAATTAGGACTTACTCTCCATTTGCTCTTTGCAAAATTCTTCCGGATCTGGGCACTGACGGATTCATGAATGTTTTTGTTGAGGGCGGTGTCACCAGCAATCCTGAAATACAGGCAAAGAGACTTCCTCAAAAAGTCTTCTATTGCTTGGCCACTGAGTCCTGTGCTGCTTTTCCTGGGAGCTTCACCCCACACCAGGGAAGCTGAAGCTGATGGAGGGTGGCTGGCTGCTGTCCTTCTAGGCTGGTAGGTTCTCTAGATGAATTGTCCTTAAGCTCACACATGCCAAAAGCCCCACGTCCCAAAGTACCTTCCACATTCTACTCCCTTCCCAGGGTCTACCCGTGCCCTATTGGTCCACTCTCTACCTGTCTCTCATGCTTTTCCTCTTTTGAACCCAGTCCCAGCAACATTAGAATCCATGACAGCTTGGCAACCGGAGTGCAAGTCCTCTCTCCTCACTGACGTTAGTCCTTCAGAGCTTCTCTAATCTCTCACTTTCGCTCCTTAGCTAGTCCTGGTTTCTTGTTTGCTTGAAGCCAAGGCCCCTACACACTGGCACCTCCAGTAACTTTAGATCAGCTTGGCTCATGTTCTAGAAAGTTCCTCTGGCTCCCAGGACCATGCCCACTCTATATTCATGGTCACAGGTGGTTTTATTGGCGCTCTTGCTTGTTTCTAAGCCCTCTCCCCCACTCCCTCACCCTTTCTCATCTTGCATCTCACTCTGCTCACGACTTCCTTCAGAGTGGCCAGGAATCCCCTAAGGTCACACATAACATGGATCATCCTTCTCTGTACACATCCTTGTCTCACACCAATGCTGTCTTCTATATATAACTGATTTTTCCTCTAGGTCAGGGGGACCTTCCTTCTGCTGTAAGCATTTCCTGAAATTTGACCTTTCCATTTTTCTTCCTAAACTATTCAGTTCTACATTGGTCTTTGGTGTCTATGAAAGAAGTTATTGATCTTGAGAAAGCTGCAAGAAGGCTTCAGAGTCCTGAACTACCTTTCTGGCTAGAAGGTACCTGCTGTAAGAGAAAACCTTTCACCACCTGGACCTGGACTGCCATGGACGTAAAACAGGCCCACATTGCAGAATGCCATCTTCATGGTTATCAGACATGAAAGCAACAAGCTCTGGGCTTGCTGAGACCAAGGCTCGTCCTACCCAGCCTTTCTTTCCCTGCAGAACTGCAGGTGGTCCAGGAACTAGACTGAATCTGTGCCCACTGGTAACTCAGCTCACAGCAGCCTCCTTCTGTATCCCCCAGTGCATCTCCCTCTCTTCCCAGAAGGGCTCAAAGGATGCTTAGAGATGAACTGAAGTGAACCAAGTTTCCACTTTGAGCGGCTCCCAATTGCCCCCCCTTCCCCAGGCACAGTCAGCGAAACAGAAACAGCATATGTGAATGAGCAAACGGAAACAGGAGTGAGCACATTCTGGGAACTGGAGACAACTTAGTGAAGCTGTCACTCTTTCGGAGCTCATAGGAATGTTTCCTTCTGTGCCACATAGGATGTATGTGTGGGCACATGTGTGTGTGTGTGTGTGTGTGTGTGTGTGTGTATGTGTGTGTGTGTGTGTGTGTGTGTGTGTATGCACTTGGAGGCCAGAGGTTAACCTTAAGTGTTATTCCTTAGGAGCCATTTTTTTAAAGACAGGTCTCTTCCTGGGATCTGGGGCTCATCAATTAGGCTATGCTAGCTGTCCACCAAGTCCCAGAAATCTTCCTTCCTGTTTTTGTTGCCCCAGCAGTGGTATGTCTGGCAGGTCCTCCTGCTTGGGAAACAAGCACTTTATGATCTTTCTGTATCATCTATAACAGTTCTGTCCTCAGAAAATGATGTTAATTCTAACAAGTCTGTGGTCAGCTCTTTCTTGGAAATAACTGGGCCAAAAAGATAGGAAGTGTGCTGACTACTGCTGCAGGCCAGAACTGGTCCAAACTGAACAGCATGGGGAGGTGGGAACCAGGGGACTTCACTCCCACATGCTGGTCAGGAGCCTGATCTCCCTACCCCGAGCCGGAGCCTGCTGCCTGAGCACGGCTCCCCACACCTCCTGGTGGGTTATCACAGGCCAAGATCTAAGGAAAATGCTGTCTGAGTTATTTTAGGAATGTTTTCTGCCCACTTCCCACAGTCTTCAGCTGTGCTGCATATGGGTCAGAGTCTAACTGGCAGCTTGTGGCTCAACGGTGCTGTTAGGCAGTCTTGGAAGTGGCTGAAGTCCAAGTGTGCTATTCAACAGACTATCTGGACAGCTATGAATACACAAGGAGAAAGTTCTCTCAGCGTTGCATGATTCTTCAGGTCAGCCATTAGGTGTTTATTGGAGCTTTTCTTTTCTATTGGACAAGAGAGAGGTGCCTCTTTGTAACAGTGGGTCCTAATGTAGAACATGTATGATTTACTGCATGTTACTGTATTTCTCGGTTTATATTGGAACGCTCCTTCATTTCCTATCTGTTGCTGATATTTCAACTTTTACTCTCCTCTATTTTGGAATCTAGTGCTTTTCCAAGATCATTTTTACTTTTATAATCTTTCAAGGTCAGCATTTGGTAAATCTGGCTTCAAATCAGGGCCTAATGTTTATAAGTAGTTAAGCCCTGTTTATTCATAACTCTCATCACTGTTAGACAAACTAACTGCCTGGATAGAATAATCATTTTGTGTGTTCCCATGTGCATGTATGCATGGAGGCCAGAAGTCAATGAGGGTGTCTTCCTTACTCACTTTCCACCTTATTTTTTGAGACAAAGTCTCTCATTGGACCTGGATCTTTCCAGTTCAACTAGATTGGCTGGTCTATAAGCTCTGGGATACTCCTGTCTCTACCTCCCCAGCACCGGGATTATAAGTCAGGGTTTTGTAGTACTAGGGGATAGAACTCAGGTCCTCATGCTGGTGTGTGTGTGTGTGTGTGTGTGTGTGTGTGTGTGTATGTGCATTCATGCATGTGCTTGTGTTTCAGACATGTTCTTCCAGTTGGTCCAAATGGGTTTTGTGATATCTGGTATACCTCTTAACCATAGTCTATTGACTATTTCCCAATTCCCATGGTCAAGCAGAATCAATGTGTCTGGAATCTTACAGAGAGATGGAGTCTCAGTCAACATTCAGGGGTATGATGGTTAATTGCATATGCCAACTTGACTAGGGCATGGTACATGCTAATTTGAATACATGCTAATTTCTATGTGCCGGTGAAAGTATTTCTTAGAAAATGTTAGTAGATTTTGAGTTAATCACATCACACGGGTAAGCCTTATCCATCAGAAGAGACTCTATCTTAGGATTCTAGCTGCTACCTTCACTGTTCCCTGGGTCTCTTGGCACATTTTCAATCTCCTAGGTCCCACAATTATACAAGCAATTGTCTTGATTCTTTAAAATAATTTACTCTCATGCTGATTGACTTAATTTGCTTGTCAGTTAAGCCAGAGATAAATATTCAGGGCAGTCTGACCTGGAGATGAGGCCCACAAGTGCTGCTGTGAAATAGGGATGGGCTCCTGTCCCACTGTTTGCCAATTCCTGCACTTTGGCCACCAGTGAACAGCGTGCAGGTTCCTTATAAGGTCTCAGCAGGAGAAAAGCAAAACCCCAAATGAGTGTGGACCTAAAAATAGCTGCTGAACGGTACTGATTAGTTTCCACAAGAAAGAGCCCTATTCTGTCTAGAGTGGTCTGTTCTGAGGTTCTCCTAACCCTGAGTGGCTTGAGTAAAGAGGGACAAACGAGCATGGGTTAACATGAAGCTCCGGGTGTTTGAGTGTGTATGAACAGGCATGGACAAACATGAAGGGGGTTTGAGTGTGTATGAATGAGCATGGATGAACATGAAGGGGGTTTGAGTGTATATGAATAGGCATGGATGAACATGAAGGGGGTTTGAGTGTGTATGAACAGGCATGGACGAACATGAAGTGGATTTGAGTGTGTATGAATGAGCATGGATGAACATGAAGGGGGTTTGAGTGTGTATGAATGAGCATGAATGAACATGAAGGGGGTTGAGTGTGTATGAATGAGCATGGATAAACATGAAGGGGGTTGAGTGTATATGGATAGGCATGGATGAACATGAAGGGGGTTGAGTGTGTATGAACAGGCATGGACGAACATGAAGGGGGTTTGAGTGTGTATGAATAGGCATGGATGAACATGAAGGGGGTTTGAGTGTGTATGAACAGGCATGGACGAACATGAAGGGGGTTGAGTGTGTATGAATGAGCATGGATGAACATGAAGGGGGTTTGAGTGTGTATGAATAGGCATGGATGAACATGAAGGGGGTTGAGTGTGTATGAATGAGCATGGATGAACACGAAGGGGGTTGAGTGTGTATGAACAGGCATGGACGAACATGAAGGGGGTTTGAGTGTGTCAGGAGCACAACTCTGAGAACAGCAAAGTTGGTAAGGCTCCACTGCAGGCATTCCTCTAGCTCCTGCTGGCTCCCAGCTGGACCCACATTTTCCTTTGCCTGCCTGGGCACTTCTCCCTGTGGAGACAAGCACACCACAATGCAGGGAAGTGTGGGGGCTCGAGTGATGCTTGCATCAAATGTGTGTGTTATTACTCCTGGTGCCTGGCTTCCTGAGCACTTGGAAATACAGTAGAAATGGAAGAACTTGTCATGAGCCTTCTGACTAGGAAACCCTGGGTGACACAGCTCACAGGCTTCCAAGAATGCCTTTAAATCTTTGCCACCAGTTTGACACCCTCTGCTCTTGCCCTTCTTCTTTATACAATGAAAGCATTCACTGTAGAGCCAGACATTTCTGGCTAGAGCCCTGGCTTTGCCATTAGGTGGCTGTAGTATCTTTACTGGGTTACTATTTCCTTATCTCTGAAGTGAACAAAAAAACCTACCTCCCAGGGTTACTGGAGAGAAAAAAAGGAGTGAACACTTTAAAACAATCAGCAGAGTTCCTGGAACACAAAAGAGACTCAACAAATGGCAGGGCAGGAGTGATGAATTAGAATACTGTGAAACTAGGTTATGACACTGCTTCTAAGCGTGTTCCCTGAAGAGGGTTAACAGCTTGGAGGGGATGCTTTAGAAGATGACCAGCCAAACACAGAACAGTTTTCTGTGGTGCTCCTTAGGGGAATTTTCTCCTGAACAATTCAAGGTTCTGTGTGTGTGTGTGTGTGTGTGTGTGTGTGTGTGTGTGTGTTCACATGTATGCTTGGAGAGTATACCCACAGCCTTGTACATAGTAGGCAAGGGATCTACCACTGGGTTACACCCCATTGCCTCTACATTCATTATACTGTGTGCTCTACTTTACATGTTAAATATGATCAAGGGTAGCTGTTTAAGGCTTAGTCCTTAGCTTGGCATTATTGGGAGGTGGTGAAAACCTTTATGAGGTGTGGCCTCATAAGAGATCTTTAGGTTGTAGGGGAGCCCCTGAGTAGAACTATGGCCTACTGATCTCTTTCTCTTGTTTCCTGGCTACCATGAGCTGGGCTTCTTGTTCCACCATGGCTTCCCACTGCTTGCCAAAGGCTCTGCCACAACAGCACCAGCTGAAACCTCTGACAGTGTGAGCCTAAAAGAAAACTGTTGTCTTTTTAAGTTTATCATCTCAGCTATTTTGTTACAGTAACAGAAATCTGAGTAACCCATTGAATATCTTTTTCTACTCTTGGGTACTTGTTTCAAAGTAGATGCTCCTGGGTCTGTAACAAACCAGACAGTTGCTCTGTCTAGACCTGGTGTGAATCTCTTTACATGAACTAGCTCCACTATTTCTTATGTTAACTTAGTAAATTAGGACTGTCACTCCCAATTAAAAGTGAGAAAGCTGAGACTTAGCAAGCCATGTGTAAACCCAAAGTCACACTTAGCTGTCAGCTAATTTGGGCTCCAAGCTCATGACATAAACACAACTCTGACAGTGTGTGGAATGCCATAAAGCACCAGTGAGTCCCTTGAGAGTTAAAGAAACACTAATTGGAAAAAATCACCTGAAAAAGAACAAAAGAACACACACACACACACACACATATCCACTGCTAAGGTGTACACTTCAATCTTAATGCCTATTGGGTGTTTTCCCTTGACAAAAGTCATCCTCATAACCATCTATAAGACTAAAAGCTACCTGCTACCTTATATGCACTTAACATCTGAGTGCATCCCGAAAACTGTATCCTGAGGGCACCAAAAGGTACAAACACTGGCTCAGGAGATGAGGGAATCCCCTGTCAGGACGAGGTGGAGCGAACACCCACGTGTTTTCATGACTAAGAGATGTCAATGAAAAGTCTACTCTGGGAGGGTGGGGATGGCATGGCCCTCACAGGGGTGATCTTTCTTACCATGGGTGCCGAGCTGCCTGCTCACAAGTGTACCGTTTATTTGGGTCTTTCTCCATCAGATTCCGAATGAAGTCTTTCGCTGTTCAAAAAGAAATCATGGGAACATGTTAAAATGTGATGACAGGATACCCTTGTGTTTTAAATACGTGTACCATTAAAAATGGGAGACCGCCTTTCACCTTCCCTGTTGTACCTGAACACAAAAGACACCAGTGTCTTGATAAAAGAGAGACCCAGGGAGTGAAAAGGTGGCAGAGCCAGGCTGTGACTCTGACTTCTGGCACTAAGTTGTTTTTTGCCAACTGCTAATGATGCCTTCAGTCTAGATAATAAAGGGAGGAATCTTCAAAATCACATGCTCTTCAGTTCCCTATTGCCTTAGAGAGATGCTCTGGGGACATCCCCTGAATGTGTTACAGACATCACTGGTTCTACTACACCCACTGCGGAGCTGCAAAGTCACCAGGTCACAGGGCCAGGTGTGAGGGACAACCAAGAGGAGTGTCTGCATCATACTTGAGCTGTTAATACCCAGTGTGTGAGATGTTACAAAGAAGCGATAAGATATACCCTGCTGTGACAGAGAGGTTTTGGTCACCATGGGTAGGGCGAAGCTCAGAGAAGGATGCTGAGAATTGGAGGGACAGGGCCACAGAACCCAAAGCTGATACTATATGCCAGCTTGGAACCCATTACCCATAGATCTGAGGTTCTAGGAGGAAGCCTCTGGCTTCTAAGCTCTGAAGTCCAGTATTCCCTGTGAGGTCTGTTTCAGCAGCCTGCAGGTTGCTGAAGGTTGAGGTCGTTAAAGTTGGTTGAGGAAACAGGCAAGGGAGTCCCAATTAGGAGTATATACCATAATAATAAAAATGGTCTGTGCAAACAGCTCAACAGAGGGTGTCATTCACCGCACTTCTCCCTTCTACAGTTCTCTTTCCTTCTCCTGGGCCTGGTTTTGCTCCTCATGCCCTGGAAATCTCTGGGAGATTTCAGTGTGGCATACTGTGGCTCTAGACAATGAAACCATGACCTCAGACGAGGCACCTCCTTCATGCAAATCATGACTACTCAATGCAAGAATATTTTGCTGAGGATACATGACTTCACAAATACTAACTTGTCATAAAAATTGGACTTCAGGAACATTGGGGTTTAAAATCCCAGTTCTGCTATTACTGACTCCATAAACTAGGACAGGTTATTTTACCTCTGGGGGCTTTAGTTTCATTATCAGTCACATATGGGTAATATAAATACCCATCCAGTGGGTCATCCAGAGGACTGGGCAAGTTAGTGCATGTCCAGGACTTCTAGCACTCAGCACCTAATTGGTGTTCATCAAATGCCAGATAATAGTATTTAATCCCTAGAGCACCCATATCAGATGAGCAAGTCTACATCCCTTGGACAGGGTAATATATCTCAAGCCTGTTCTCCAAGTCAAGTCCAAAGACAGAGTTCATAGAGCTTTCTCAGGAGCCACCATAGATTGAATGCTGGTGGACACCACAATTCCTTTGTTTAGATCCTAATTCCTATGATGAGGGCATCTGAAGTGGCCCTTTAGGAGGTGGTGACCGGGAAACGAAGGCTGAGAAACATCAGTGTTCTTATGACAGAGACCCAGAAAGCCCTGGCCCCTGCTACTTTATGTACAAACACACCAAAAGGACAGCTGTCTCAGCAGATGCCCAGTGTACTTTCCCCTTTAGAATTATGCAGAATAAATATTTGGTATTTAAGATACACAGATTGTGGTATTTTGTTATAGTAACCCCAGTAGAAGAAGACAGAAGCCTTGGGGCCATTCTGAGCCCAAGGGTCCTTGGGCTTCTACATTAGGTCATCTGGATGTAAATGTAAATGCCATGAGAGACCCACCAGAGTCAGAGATGTCATCCCAGTAGGGGGAATCAAACTCATATTCTGCCTTGAGGATCTGTTCAAACAGCTTGGAGTCATTTTCATCATAAAAAGGAGGGTAGCCACAGAGCCTGCAAGACAAGAGGGAATAAGATTTGAGTGTATGCACAGCCACTGTGCTGGATTTATACTTTGCCTGGAAAGAAGACACATGATCCATCAATCAAATTAAGAAACCCCACACTGAGTGTGCTAAAGTTAAACCTCAGTGAAGGAACCATGCCCTCTACACATGAACATGCCACAGAAGTGAAAATATGACCTCCTAAGCAGCAAAAAGGATGACTCCATCATGGTCAGAGGCAAACACACATATTCAAGATTTTACCCAAAGTCTTTCTTCTATGTTTGCATTTATTAATGTGTGCGTATGATGTGTATGATGTGCTTGTAAGGGCACAGATGTGCCACAGTGAGTGAGTGTAGTAGTTAGAGGACACTTTAGAGTCACTTCTTGCCCTCCAGATTTCTCTGGTTTCTGGGGATTGAAGTAAGGTCACCAGGCTTAGACAGCAAACACTTTTATCTGCTGAACTACCTTGTCACCCCCCATAACATTTTACATGGCATTAACTAGAATCCCATGAACCCTAGAAAGTCTCCAGGCAATCTTCCATGTACAGCTATTGTTAATCATGTCCATAATACTGTTCCTGACTGACAGACTAGTGGGAAGAGCAAAAAAAAAATGAGTCCTTGATGGAATTTCCAGAGCCTTTGGGTTCATTCTGTCTAGGAACTTGCTAAGGAAGAAGGGGGATCAAGTTGCTAGGATTCACCCTGACCTGTGTGTTATCAGTCCATCAAGTAGGATTCAGAATAGGAAGTAGAAATGCTACCATTTCTCTCCATTACAAGCAGCAAATATCCATAGGAGGCAGCTCAAGTCACCATACTGTAGAATCACAGTACCCCAGCCAAGATACCACTGGGCCATTTCAAAGACAGCTTCTCAATGGTCCAACTAGGATGTTGCTAGAAACAGGTTAGAGCTATGGAGAGACCAAGGGTCATCTGGAAACCATGGCAAAAGCAACACGTCAATTAAATTCAACTACCACTAGTCAGTCAATGACACTGTGGCTTCTGGGGCTGGTCATGGAGTTCAGAGGTTGAGCACATAGTTGGCAACTGAGAAAGTAATAAATAAAATAACCATAAATTAAAATGAAAAAAATCTTTATTTCTCTTTTCAGTTCTGTCCTTGGTTCCAATGTGGTGTTAGTAGGCCAACTAAAGTATTTCAGGGATCAAAATTCCATCCAAATACATAGGTAACCAGAGTAGAATATTCCATGTATATAACGGTTTAAAGCTACATAGCTCTGTGACACTTCTCTTGTTGTATTTTTCATTAGCTAAAATACTTAGGAAAAGACCAGAACATTCCTGGGGCCCATATAAGGCTGGGTTGGAGGGACCACGCAACCAGAAAGGGTGGGGCCAAGGTAGTAAGTGATCCCAGAGCAGAAGTCATCAGTGCTCCACTCTAGAAGCCTAAGAGTCAAATTCTATGTTGCTGATATGGTTCCTGGGGCCAGAAGGTGGCAGCCACTGTGGGAGGCCTGACCCCAAGCTGAGGCCTGACCCCAAGTCAAGCCCCATTCTTCCCACACAGCTCAATATTGTTCCAAACATAGCAACAGCCTAGAGAGCAATTCAATGAGAACAAATGGACAGGCATCCACAGACTGTAGGTCTGAAGGGATTTGCTGTTGGTTCCTAACAAACACAATAAAGGTTCAGCCATTTTTCATTTGTCTTGCCACCAGGGGCACAGCTGTGGCTGGCTGCAGAAAGGAATGGGTGATGACAGTTGTCAAGGCCTGGAGACATTCTGTGGGCTGAGAAGATTCTACATCATTTAACTCACAAGCATGTTTTAGAGGATGAATGCCTGGAAAATTTCATCTGTAAAGATCTGCTGCGGTAGGGAAAATGAAAGAGCCAGTGCTTCGGAAACCACCAAGTGCATACTTCACAGCCCAAGGAAACCCTGGGGCCTCTGAGAGAGGGACATGTAAATTTTTTCCATAATGAGGATTTGGGCAAAATAAAATGTGCGCATTAGGAAAAGCCGACAGAGCAAAATGTTAGCTTGTCTTGGAAAAAACCCTACATGCTAGATATGTGAGCTTTTTGTTTGTTAACAGCTCAGTGTGTTTTGCTTTATGGCTTGGCTTTCTTCTCAAGGAAAAAATGTTAAAAATTTTCAAGAAGGATTTCTTCTTGTGCCAATTTTCTTAATGTATATTCCAATTTCTTTTCATCTTAGTTCCCCCACCCCTCTTTTTACACATAGGACTGTTCGTGCAGGTGTTCTGAGGACCAGAGAGCAGGAGATGAATCTATCTTGGGGCCTGAGTTAAAATTAAGAAAGAGATGGTTGAGGACACAGATCAGTGAGTGTAGTGCTTGCTATGAAAGTGTGGTGGCCTGAGTCTGAATTCACAGAGCCCCTATAAAAGCAGGGTGAGGAGCTTGCCTGCCTGCCTGCTTGCCTGAATCCCAGCATGGTTGTGTTGTGGTCACTCTTTCCCAATGTTTCCCCATCAGCCCTTTCAGAGATGCTCTGCCTGTCCCTGGACACTGCCGTGTGTAGACATGTGAATGAAGACGGACAACACTGTCGACCTCAGTGGGATGCCAGTGGATGAGGACCACAGTAGGGCTGTTGAAGCGCACGTGCGTGCGTGTGTGTGTGTGTGTGTGTGTGTGTGTGTGTGTGTGCGTGTAATCAAAGATAGGGGGTGTATTGCCCTGGACCTCTCTAGTTTGGCTCTTGGGCTAAGGCTATGTCTCTTTTCCTGGGGACAGATTCTATTAGGTTCTTGCCCCAATCCTGGCAATCCGTGCTTTCCTCTTTTTCCTGGCTATGCCTAGGGGTGTTTATAGCCCAGTAGCAACCAAGTCCAGGGTCACAAGGATCACAGGATTTGTGTGGTCTTACCACACCACCCCTGAATACACCCCTTTATACTGTCTCCATTTTAAAGCAAACCGATTAACAGTACAGAAAGTCAAGACTCAAGCCTAACCCCCCTGACTCCAGGTCTGTATTCTGTACTCTTGGACACAATCAGGAGAAGACTTGAGATCCAAATCTCTCACTTCAGCCTTTGACCACTGTGTAGGTCAGTTAGCCTGTACCCACCCAATGCCTTCACGTGGAAGGAGAACCCCAGAATGTGACTCTGCCTTTTCAATCTATCTCATTCATTCTGGGAGTGTGTTTGCCAACATGCATCAGGCTAGTTTCCTGCATAGGGAACACTTATTGTATCTGGGCCAATATAAGCTTGTGTACTTTTCTGGCTCCCCCTTGCTTGTTTCTTCCACACCCTTGAAATATGCAGTAGCAGACATGGCTCCACCATGGCACATCCTCCCTGAGCACAGCTCTGACCTGCTCACATGCACCTAGGACAGGACCTCATCTTTGCTTCCAGATTGTCAGGGTCTGGGCCAGGACCTACCTGGAGGGTATTGTAGATAGATGTCCGGGCACACACACATGCATGGAAAAAGGGGCTTCCTGGTTGACTGCTGACTCCCCTTGTTGAGCTCAGAAGCAGAGACAAAGGCTCAGGATACAGGAGCTCTCACCAGTGTCCTCTCCCAGAAGAACCAGGGAGATCTCAAAATACCAACCAACCTGACACTTCCTGTATACACTACAGCAAAACTCCAAGCGATTCAGACATTATAGAAGAACCTAGTGCATAAGGCCCTCCCCCCACCAGGGTAAATGGTCAGTCTTTACGAGGAGAATAAAGTATGGTTTGGGTTTTCCCAATGGTACTCATGGCCACAGATCCATATTGCTAAGTTCGTTTTCCATGGAGAAGGATGTTAATATAAATGGATATGAAACCCAGCAACGAATGGCCAGCTGTGGGTGATCTGGCAGGGTGAAGTTTTTCTTGGGACCTGGAATACTGTAATAGCGTAAAAGCTCCCGTCAAGATGCCCGTGAGTTCAGCAGGGTCTTTACCCTACATTAAGTTATGTTGTTTGGACTGTTTACCCTTGGTCATGGATCTACATACCTGGAAAAGATGATGTTTGCTGCAGGGATGCCCAAGTCATAACCGTTAGCTAATCCTTTGTCCTTTGGTTTCCACAATCCCCCCGTGTTTTGGCCTACTTTTCATACCCATTAAATTATGTACATTAGGGTCTCTTTTGATACCAAAGATGGCTACTAAGAGTACAGAAGACGTGGGGATCAGAAGCAGTGGAGGGACAAGTACCAATATGCCGGACAGCAGGGAGTGACTTAAAATTTTTAATGTACTTTACACTCTTATGGTAAGAATACTTTATATGGAAGCATCTCTCTGAATATTTAAGGGAATAATACAGTTTTTCTTTTGACTGTTGCTTTTGGGTATAACAGTGTCTCCCTGTTGTGATTTGAATTTGAAATATGCCCCAGAGTCTCACGTGTTTGAACAGTTGGTTCCCAGCTGGTGGTATCATTCTAGAAAGTTTGGTACCTTTAAGGGGTAGAGCTTCACTGAGGGAGTGGTCCACTGGGGTTTGCCTTCATGTTTTATAGTGTAGGCCCGTTTCCTCTGTTTTCTGCTTCCTGACTGCAATATGATATGACTACTCACTCCCATGCCACTAATACCATCTCCAAATTGTAAGCCCAAATGAACCATTTTTCCTTTTAATTGCTTCTTGTCAGCTATTTGGCCATAGCAACAAGGACAGTGATTAATATATTTCCCCAAAGACCCATATGTTGAAGGCTTGCCCCTAAGATGGTGGCTCAATTGACAGGTGGGTGAATCATTAGGATGTTAACTTCATCATCTGGCTTGTCAATTGAGGAGTCCCTAGCTGAATGGGCAACTAGGAGGTGGTTATAGGAATCAGGTCACTATGGGCAACCTTCTAGGTACATCCTGTCCCCAGCCTTGTCCTTATTTCCAGTTCTGATCCCCACTTCCTGTGAATGTTTCCAGAAGGTTGAGTGGCCTCCACAGCATGCATATGTATGTGTGGATCAGGCACTAGAATTCAGTAGGGTATCTGAACAATGAGCAGAGAGGCTGAGGCCTGG